GAAATCAATATTTTTGAATCCCATCGATAAAGTAATTTCCTTATAGCCATAAAATATTATTATACATATGTATTATATATTTAATAGTATAAAAAACAATGAAAAAATGAAGAAGTACATAAAATAAAGAAGAAATATAATTGAAACAAAAGTTTTAACCAAAAAGAGCATGCTAAATTGACCAATAAGGAGAGAGTGAAACCTTAAAAATTCCCAAGAAATAATTTTATTTTTAATCTCTTTTTATATTCCTCTTAATTTAAGTTATATTTCTAGGTTTAATTATATTTTTTTTATCCTTGTAGTATATATAATAGATAGAAAATGGAATATCAAATTGTTTTTTAGATAGGAAATCAAGTATAAAATTCAAAGTTAAAACAAATTATAACTTTCTTTGTATTATTACATGTTGAATCACAAACTAAATATAAGGATCATTATTCTTAAAAGAATGTCTTACAAATTGGTTTGATAATTATATAACAAAAAGTTTTTTTTTGTTAAAAAATTACATACTTTTGAAAATAAATTAAATATACATGAATATGTGAGAAAGAAACAAACATCCAAAGTAAAAGAATGAAGATGATTTCTTTAGCTTGATTATCTTCTGGTGCGATAGTCGGAAATTAATATTTTTGAATCTCATCAATAAAATAATTTCTTATAACCATAAAATATTATTATATATATATGTATTACATTTAAAAATATTAAAACAATGAAGAAATGAAGAAATACCTAAAAAACAAAAATTGAAACAAAAAATTTAATCAAACTCTTACAATGACATCTTAATTGAGTTTTCATCCCATGCAAGAACATTAAAAAATAAAACAAATAAAATATTGAGGGTATCAGATATGGTGGAGGAAGATGTAAGAATGACTATTTATAGGATAAGAAATGATATAAGTTACATTTTTAAAATAATTAAATTATAGGAGTCATTTATAGTGTGTTTAATGGAAATTCAATAAAGAAAATCAATAGTCTTTGAAAATTTATATAATTTTCAGTTACATTTTAGTAGTAAAGTGTGGATTTCAAGTATGAACTAAAGTATATGATTAAATGTGATAGATATTTGGTTTAATTTAAAATAAATATTGTAATTAAAAAATAAATGCTAAATGGACGAATAAGGAGAGAGTGAAACCTTAAAAAATACCCAAAAAATAATCATATTTTTTTAATTTGTTTTTATATTCTTCTTAATTTAAGTTATATCTCTAGGTTTAATTATATTTTTCATCGTTGTAGTATATATAATAGATAGAAAATTT